ATGTCCAACAGATGTCTTCTAATTGCTTCGGAGGGATTTAAGTGCCGTCCAGTGATAGGATCAACGACTGTTTCAATATTATCTGACTTGAGACTGTGACTAAACCAATCCCCGCGTGAAATGAAGCTAGTCTCTTGAGTCGGATGATCATCATGAAGACCGGGCCCCAGCCAGGCAAGGCGAGTAATTTGTCGTTCGGTCACCAAATAACCTCGATCGGGACGATTAGAAGACAAACCAAGTAGCAGTTGCGCTCCCGTGCAATTGATCGGTAGTGATGATGTCCACTGCGATTGTCCGCTAACATTCAGGGATGACCCGGAGGCAGGATCGACAATCAGACCATGAGACCCGGGAGATATGTTGGTTGTGTTGCGCAACTCACTGGAGGGTTGCAACCATCCTCGAGCTAAAGCTTCTAGTCCATTCAGGTCACGACCATCGGGATAAGATAATCCGCAAGGGCTTGTCAACAACTGAACCGTATGTGAATCACACAAATTACCAAGTTTAGGAGCTTTACGCAAAGGAACTCGACGTTGCTCCACCAAAAGACCATGTTGTCGAGCCTCGGCTTCTGATAGAATTATTTGCTCTGAGGTGGAATCTAACAGACCAGTACGCAACGCTTGCAATATGGGATGCTGGTAGTAATGCTGACTGTGTTTTTGAGCCGCACCAGATTGCATGATACCGACTGGAGCAGGTCGGCATAGTGTTTGGATCAGACGTAAATGATTGCTATTGACTGCGTCCCATAAGGATATCTGATTTCCATCGGGAAAAATGAATCGCCCACTTTCACTTAACACACCCGAACTAATGGCTTCGTTCACGGTTAGTGGGATCCAGCTTGCTCGGCGTTTCACAATAAGCGCTGGTCGATCTCCGATCAAAAATCCTCGTTGAATGGCTTCAGTCAGAGTTAGATGATCCCCGGTATTTGCATCGACAAATTCGCTAGCCGATATAGCTCCATTCCGTTGAGGATCAGTCATGAACAGGCCTGAGAGCAATGCATCTGCTAGATCTGGTGCACGTGCAATTAGCCCAGCGGCTTGAGCCAGTTGCAAACCTGCAGTACTTTTGGATACTTGAGGTATCCCGCACCACAGACCTTTGACATCATCAATCAAGCCTAAGGAAACCGACATCGACAACGTTATGCGACGGTACGGAGCGTTTAACACGGAACTTGAATTGTCCATAGGAACCACCACTTCAGGGACTGATGGATCCAGTAAGCCTAAATTAACTGCCTCTCGAATGGTTAGCTCTTGTTCACAAAACACACGTCGATCAGTGAAAGCCTCTCGTCCTGTCCCGTCAGCACGAGCCTCCAGTACGCTAACACGCAGGCGACCATTGGATGGATTATAAGCTCCTGCAGCAAGCCAGTCGGATAAACAAGGACGAGGAGCTTCCACATGAATGGAAGAACCATCGGAAGTCTTGGATGCATGCCAATAGATTCGTGTATTTTGGTACTCTACACAAATACCACTAGTGAGCACACAGGCCAAACGGAAGAAGTCATTGGAAGACAACGTTTTTTCTTTTAGTAAGTCAACAAGACGTTTTTGATCGGACAACCATTGACCGGTATTCGGATCAAAGCCTGTCCGGCTTTGGCCCGATGGTACCAAACATTCAGCAATAATCTGGCGATTTCCCGGCGGATACTCAAAAGTACTGTTTAAAACACGAACAGCAAGAGAAGTCATCCAACCTTGTTGGACAGCGGCAGACCACGGAATCGCTACACTTGGATCTAACGAACTCTGCTGACAGGTCTTCGTTATTGGATCTAACAAACCACAACGCAAAGCATCACCCAAACACAAGGGCTCTCCAAAGGCCACTGAACCCTGAGCATCAGCAAGTCTTGTGACGAACCAAGCGCCACTGCTAGGCACAGGATGTTGAATCAATTGGCTTAATCGATGGTGGGGAGGTTGACGCGGAGTTTTGTTTGACTGTATGTGTGGTTGATCACTACTCAAAGGAAACATGACAACTGGTTCAGTAGCCGCACCCGTCAAGTGTAACTCCCACTCGCCCGCATGTCCAAAACGTCTCGAATCTAGGGTTGGAGTTGCCGTTGATTGTGATAAGGCCGACTGGGATACAACTGCACGATCATGAGCGGAAATAGCAGTAGTGGATTTAGATACAAGAATATCAGAAGGCCATTCTCCTGGATAGAGCTGCAGATAATCAATCACTTGAGGGGCAGCGGATAAGGTGAGCGGGCCACTGTATCCGGAATTCTCTATGACCTGAGGGAAATGGATCAAAAGAAGCAAAAAATGTATACAGCTGAAACAGTAGTCCAAATCGTGTATTCTGAACCACTGAATTAGCGAGAAAATAACAAACAGCCGAAGAATATTACGCCATAATTTTTGGTTCCTCAATAGTTTTATACACTGATAGATATCAAAAAAAGTGGTGAAGTGAAGAGGGAATAGTTCTCAATCATATGTGACAGAACAATAATTACCATTATTTGTTCTCGTATAGATCGAACATAAAACGAGCAACTTGCTACTGTGCGTTAATTCATGCGAATGAAACAAAGACACTTATCAAATCCCCAAATACCCCAGTATGGCTGGGACAAGTGTTCTATAATTTGGATACTATTTTGAAGATCTCACGGTGACTTGACATCGTAGTTATTCGCTTGATCAATGGCATGTCGACCTCGACACTTTTCTTCCTCTATCCTTGAACTAGACAATTTGTTGTGTTTTATTGACTACGGTAACCCGTAGTTCACACTGTTCATTAAGTTACTCCACACCACACTAATACGCTTGTACTTTGTGTCACTGACCGATCCGTGGTCTAAAGCCGATCGTTATGTTCCGAAAACGTGCCACAGCCTTTATAGACGCGCCCTATTTGTACTTGACCCGTTGCTTCGCAAGCCGTCCTGGTAAATTTGGGTATTTCAAACATCATTTATCTTACGCTAGTTTTAGATTGACACTCAGTTTATCCCTTTTATTGTTAGTGACTACATCTGAATGACACGTGTTAACAGATTCTGCCGGGAAATCCCACTCACTGCCTTCTCGGAGCAAGTAATGTTAAGTGAAGAAAGAGGGC